TCTTGTTGAAGCACCCGGTTAAGTCCCCCCAGTGAGAATTTACTCCAAACACTTGGGGAATAAGGAAAAAAAAATCTCTTTAATAGTCTCAAACCAGCCAGGCAGTGGTTGGCGCATACTTTTAATCCCAGCACTCAGGAGGCAGAGGCAGGCAGATATCTGTGAGTTCGAGGCCAGCCTAGTCTACAAAACCTAGTTTCAGGATAGGCTCCAAAGCTACAGTGAAACCTTGTCTCAAAAAAAAAAAAAAAAAAAAAAAAAAAAAAAAGTCCCAAACCAGTCCCAAACGGATGTTAGTAATGGATTACACAGGATTTAGGTGTTAACATCCCACATACAGTGTTACCTGTACATCTCCTTAAGGGTCCAACCCCAAGTTACGCCCAGCAATTAAACAGAGACAAGAGACTATAAACCTGACCATTTTCAGCAATTGAGAGGTTTACATAGCAAAGTTATGGTCACAATTACTTTTGAAATATACTTGTACAGTTCATTGTGCGTTGGCGTTACCCAGGGCACTGCCTGGCACAATTACCTCATCCCGATAAGAGAACCAGGCCTTAATGGCAGACTAGAACTCAAGGATGGTTGCTGTCCCTTTGAACTGCCAGGTAGAGGCATGGTCTTTGCTATGGGAATAGAGCCAAACAGGCAGCAATCTTAGTGGACAAATCTCAACAGAAACAGTCTCAGCAAGCCTAAACTGCAATTATATTCAAGGTCCAACATTTTCCCCACAGTTTGACAAGTCAGGTTAGTTCACTATCTTATCATATTACAGACAGCATAGCTGTAAGTTAATCCGACCTTGTGCAACCTAGAATTTCTTAGGCAAGCTTACTGGTGAATCCTTGAAATGTCAATTTATTAGTCTCAGTTTCTATAGTATCATTGTGACGTACTACTCCAGGAAGTAAGACAGGATCACAATTCAGGAATGGTGGACAAAAACATAAACACACATTTTTTTTTTATTTTGTTTTGTTTTATTGAGTTAGGGTTTTACTATGTAACTCCAAACTGACTCTCTGCCTCAGCCTTTCAAGGTCTGGGATTACAGGTTTGCACACCTTGTCCATTCTTGTTGGTTTTTGTTTTTCAAGACAGGGTTTCTTTGTGTAGCCCTGGCTGTCCTGCGCTGTAGACTAGGCTGGTCTCGAACTCACTGAGACCCGTCTGCCTCTGCCTTCCAAGAGCTAGGATTAAAGGCGTGCGCTGCCGCCACCTGGCACCACTTCCATTTATAGTGTGCTGTCTCTGTCTCTCTCTGGTATATGTCTGTGTGCACGTGTGTATAGTGTAGGTTGACATTGGAATGCTGTTCAGTAGTTTCTCTACATTATTTTATTTATATCTGTGTGTGTGTTTATGAACATTTGCCTGCTGGCCTAACATGTGGGCACAGGTGTGAAGGTAAGAGGACCAGGATTTGATTCTCTCCTTCTACCACGTGAATTCTCCAGGCTTTACACTCAAGTCAGGTGTGGTGGCGGATACCTTTACCCCACTTTTTTTTCCCCAGCACACATTTAATTATTTTATCTGAGAGTGTTTTGCTTGCATGTATAAATGTGCACCGCGTGTGTGCCTGGTGCCCATGGAGATCAGAAGAGGGCATTGGACACCCTGGAACTGGACTTACAGAAGGTTGTGAGTTGCCGTGCCGGTGTTGGAAATTGAACCTGGGTCTGCAAGAATAGCAGAATGCTCTTAACTACTGCCCATCTCTCTAGTGTCCATATTGTCTTTCATTATTATTTTAATTTTATGTGCATTGATGCTTTGCCTGCATGTATGTCTGTGTGAGGGTGTCAGATCCCCTGGAGCTGGAGTTATAGATGGTTGGGAGCTGCTGTGTGGATGCTGGGAATTAACCTAGGTCCTCTGAAAGAGCAGCCCATGCTCTTAACCACTGAGCCACCTCCCCAGTCCCCCACACTGTGTTTTAAGACAGGGTCTCTCACTGAACCTGAAGCTTGCTGTTTTGGCTAAGACGGCAAGCCAGTGACAGGCCCCACTCCCAACATCTGTCTGTCTCTACCTCTGCCCAGATGCTACGGGCACCTTTTGCCACACCAAGGACCTGAACTAGGGTTCTCATGCTTACACAAGCTCTTTATCCATCTCCCCAGTCTAGTTCAGTTTTGAAGACATGGTCTTACTATGTAGCCCAGGCTAGCTTGGAACTTTGGGGAATCCTTCTGTCTCAGCTTTCTAAATGCTGCAATGGATGATAGGCATGCATCTTCAGAAGTTTTAAATATTGATGTTGTGGTGGTTTGAATGAGAAATGTCTCCCCAGGCTCAGGTTTTTGAACAGTGGGCCCCTGGTTGGTGGCACTGTTGGGGGAGGTTTTGGACCCTTTAGAAGGCAGAGCCGTGTTGGGGGAAGGACTTGAGGCTTTACAGCCTGACCCCCACTTCCAGTTCTCTGTGCTTTCAGTGGGTGATTGAAGATGTGATCTCCTGCTTCCTTCTCTGGCTGCCTGATGCCATGCCTCCTCCGCCATTCTGGACCCTTCTAGCAACTTCAACCGAAATAAACGCTTCCTCAAGTTGCTTTTGGTAATGGCGTGTTATCACAGCAGTCAGGAACGGATATAGGTGCAGTCCAGTTGCTTTCTCTGGCCGCCTTTTCTTCTGCTACCATGTTTCATACCTTGTTGTCCAATCTGTCTGCATGAAGATCTCATTTCTGTGTAAAATCTAAAAATCATACGTTTCCCACGCCCACACAATCCACACACTTCTGACACCAGATGTGTGGCGGTTTCCCACACATCCATCAAGAAATTCCACAGCCAGTAAAGATGAGTGTCCTATAATTTAACCCCATCCTGACCTGGAGATAGCCTCAGATCTCACAGGTAATGGGGCTTGGTTCTGCAGGATAGCACCCAGCTCTACTGCTTCAGGAACAGTCTTGAGTTGCAGGTTATAAACTCCACAACTGGCCAATGGGCTTCCCAGTTCCTGAGGGCTTTCCCTGGTGTTAATTAATTGATTAGGAAGGTTCACATAACTCAGGGGAACATACAGATACGTTTACCAACTTATATGCACATTCCCTAATGTATGAGGGTTTCACTTATATTTTAAAAAGTGTTAAAATTTTTATGTGTATGGGTGTTTTGCCTGCATATGTGTCTGTGGACCACATGTGTGCCTGATACTAGTGGAGCCAGAAGAGGGTCTTAGATCCCCTAGAACTGGAGTTATAGATGATTTGGGGCTGCCATATAGGTGCTAGGAATTGAATCCTGGTTCTCTGGAAGAGCAGTCAGTGCTCTTAACTGCTGAGATGTCTCCCCGGCCCTCACTTACATTTTTTTTTTTGTGTGTGTGTGTGTGTGTGTGTGTGTGTGTGTGTGCGCGCGCGCGCGCTGCTGGTGATAAAATCTAGAGCCTCAAGCACACAAGACAAACACGTTACCGCGAGGCCATGCCCTAGCCCCACAGTGATGGCGTCTTAGGTAAGCACCGTTCTGCTGAGCCACATCCAGAGCCCTTCACTGAGAATTCTAGGTGAGAACACTATTAATACTGGGTGGTGGAGGCAGAGGCAGGCAGATCTCTGTGAGTCCAAGGCCAACCTGGTCTACAAGAGCTAGTTCCAGGACAGGCTCCAAAGCTACAGAGAAACCCTGTCTTGAAAAACCAAGCACCAAACCAAACCAAACCAAACCAAAACCAAACAAAACAGTATTACTGAGTCCCACAGGGCCTCAGGTATCCCAGGCTGACTTCAATCTCCTGATCCTACCTCTCATTCCCAAGTGGTAGGATTACAGGCCCACACCGCCATTCCCAGGAAATACATTTTAAAAATGTATTATTGAATCACCTTGGTGTCTTAAAACAGCAGGAGTTTGTTAGCTCACAGTTCTGGGGGTCAAATTTCTGACATCACCATCTCAGCCAGAAACCAGGGTGTCAGCAGGGCCACCTGACTTCTTTCTGGAGCTCTAGGGGGAGAAGCTTTTGCTGGTATTGCCCAGAGTCTAGGGGCTTTTGCATTTTGTGGCTTGTCTCATTACTCTGTCTTCAAAGCCAGGATTTTCAATTTCTTCCTGATGTCCTCACATCTTTCTCTTGTTCCCGTCAACTCTCCTATTACCTGTATTATGTGAGAGTTCTTGGAGCCACAGAGACAATCCCCAGCCATTGTGCCTATTTCACCATCTGTAATAATGGCTGCACAAACCCGTGTAGTACTTCTAGTACTCAGAAGGCAGAGGCAGGCGGGTCTCTGTGACTTGAGGCTAGCCTTGTCTACAGAGCAAATTTCAGGACAGCCAGGGCTACACAGAGAAAACCTGTCTTGAAAAGAACAAAACATTATAATAATAATAATAACAACAACAACAACAACATAATGGCAAATAAGATAATATTGATGGGTCACAAAGATTAGGGCAGCCATGTTTTCAAGGCAGATGAGAAGCCTATCCCATTGTTTCCTGGTCTATGTTCCAGTGCCACTGTCCTGAATACCTACTATATTTCAATGCCACAGTGTCCCACAGTGTCCTCACAGTCTTGTGCTCCCACCCCATTCTCCAGAGTAGCTGGGGGTACAGGCCCATGGAATCCCACTACATAGGGTCCAGAAGAATCCAGAATAAGCTCCCACTTCAAGTCCAGACATGCCGTCCTTTTTTTTTTAAACTATTATTTTGAGTGCCATGGCACAGGCGTGGAAGTCAGAGGACAACTTTCGGGAGTTGGCTTCCAACTTTCTTTTTCTATTTTATTTTTTTTAAGATTTATTTATTTATTATGTATACAACATTCCTTCCACGTATGCTTGCATGCCATAAGAGGGCACCAGATCTCATTATAGATGGCTGGGAGCCACCATGTGGTTACTGGGAACTGAACTCAGGACCTCTGGAAGAGCAGTCAGTGCTCTTAACCTCTGAGCCATCTCTCCAGCCCATGCCGTCCTTTTTGTAAAGCTCTCTTGACCAGGTGAAGTGCCATAGTCCACACGTGGATATCTTTGGGAGACTGTGCCTTTATTCTGCCTGCCCCAAAGAGGGTCAGGCAAAGGGTTGTAGTTTTAGTACTGTTTGGGGGTTTGTATTTGCTGGGGAGAGCCTCACTGAGGTAACATCGGGGCAGACCAGGAGGGGAGGGAGGAGTGCTGTAGATTTTAGGGAAGGGCTGAAATTAAGTGGGAACAGCCAGTGCAAAAGGCACATCCTTTTTCCTGCCCCATCCTCCACGCTGCCCCAGATGCCTCCAGCATCTCTCTTAGCAGGGGAGTGGGACAAAAGGCCCAGAGCTGACTGGGGTTGGAGGACACCAACCATCATTGGTCCCCTATTGCCCATGACTCCTCAAAGGGCAGGCCAGCCTGTGGGAGAGATGGGATGCTGTGTCAGAGGGGCTACAGATCCCACCCTCCCTTTGACCTGGATCCCACACAGGTGGTCGGTCACCTGGGCTGTGGGCTGGGCTTGCTGGTGCAGTGTCCGCCTCCGGTGCCACTGACGCAGGGAGGCTCGGGCCTCGGAGCTGAGATCCTGGGGTGCACGACCAGCGTCGGGCTGGTAGTGAGCAATGTGATAGAGAGCCCCAAACCACGTAGTAAGATAATATCCAGCTGGAGAAGAGAAGGGGAGATCATCATGGCTCTCTGGGCTCCTCCCTACTGCCTGTTACCCCTTCTGAGGCACAGGAAGCTGGGGCTCGCCGAGGGTGCCCCCTTCTCAGTTTCTGGACACCCTGAAGGTGGGAGCTCACCTTCTCCCCGCAGTTCCTCTGGATCCAAGAGCTCCATAAGAAACTCCACATCCAGCTGCGTCTCCCCTATGTGTGGACTCCAGATCAGCTCCTCGGTCAGGGCTGGCAAAAAGGCGTCGGCCCCTAGGGGCTCTAAGGAAGACCGAGGACAGGTCGTGAGTGTTTGCGGGAGTACATACACACACTTTGCTTCGGGTCCCCAGGTCTGAGTGGGCACCTGCCACCAGAATGGGCTACCCTTCCCTTGAATATGGGTACCCACCATTCAACCACTCTAAGGTTCAGAGGTTCTATACCTTGATTCTCGCCACCGGCCAGGCCTGCGTAGACATCGCTGCACACCGCCAGCAGCAGTGCCACCTTGCGGCGCGGGGCGCATGCGGCGTGCAGATGCGCGAGGCGTGCGTGGATCTGGCTCCGCAAGGCTGGGACAGGGCTCTGTCCCTCGGGCCCCGCCCCCGCCCTCAAGGCTGTTTGGCGCCGGCGCAGTAGCCGCAGTTCCTGGGCTCTGAGAGTTCGGAGTTTGGTCCACAGGGCCGGCTTCAGGGGCTCCAGAACCGCCCGACACAGGGCTACTTCCACAGCGGGGCCTGCGGGGCGTGTGACATGTGAGGACAGTGCCGTCGTGGTGACCCACTCTGATCCCTAGCCACATTGTCTCCTGCTCCAGGACACCTACAAGTGTAGATAGGGGTGGGAGCGTGGGGGGTGTAAACGCTCCAAAGATGGAAGAGTCTAACCGGTAATGTACGTGTTGGGTGGAGCTATGATGCAGTAGCTATATGAAGTAAGGGTGTGCTTGCCCATGGGGAGTGAGAGGTTGGATGTGAACACATACTGAACCCAGTCATGGCCTCCCCAAACCCTTGGGAAGTTTCCCTCTAATTCTCATTACCAAGATCCTCGTCCCCAGGGACCCTAGGTTCCCTGTTCCCAAAGACGGCTCTGACGTCGGGGTCCTTTGCCAGGTAATTCTGGAGATCAGTGAGGAGCTGGCGCACATCCTGAAGCAGCTCCGTGGCCGGATCCCCAGGCCTGTAAGGATTTCCAGAATTTGATGTGAGGCGTGCCCGAAGGTATCGATACTGCTTGGCTACATAGCTGCTCCGGGCCCTGGCCAGAGCGCGGATGTGGGCAGTGAGCAGGTCCTCTCGACCTTCCTCTTCATCTTTACAGTTCACTTCCTCCTTCTCTTCCACCACACTGTCTAGAGCAGGCCTAGGCGAGTGTACATCTGCTCCAGGAAGGGACACTTCGGGTTCCAGGTGATGAACTTCTGGTCCAGGATGATGCACTTCCGGTTTCAGTGGCTCTTCCACCCAGGAGACGCGATGTGGGGTGGGCTTCCTAGGGGCTGGATGTGAGACTCAGGTCGGGTCTCTTACATCACTAGCACTCATTCCTCCATCCCTCAGGGTACACGGGCCCCGCCCAGCTAACCTAGACTGTATTTCTGGTCAGTCTCTGGCTCTGTCTGCTGTCGAGTCTGCTGGGCGCCCCAGCTTCCATGCGTCTCCAGGTAAAGCTGGTTCACTACAGACAGCACCCTCCCCGAGGTGCTGACCTGAATGCAGCCAAGTCGCAGAGGATCTGAGGGCCAGCAGAAAAGACGAGGCGTCCCAGGTTTGCAGGGGGCAGCCAGGAGGCTTCAGCCCCAACGTTCCTCATTCAGGACCAAGAATTCAGTCCCAGCTCCCAGGGCCTCCAGCTCAGGACCCAGGAGTGGTCTCATCCCCTACTGTCACAGCTACTGCCACAGCTGCTACTGCAGCTGCTTTCTCCTCCTCCGCTGCCCTCCTCCTCTTCCTGTTTGTTTCTTTGAGACAGGTTTTCTCTGCCCCTTTGGGGCCTGTCCTGGAACTCCCTCTGTAGATCAGGCTGGTCTCAGACTCACAGAGACCCACGTGCCTCTGCCTCCCAAGTGCTGGAAATAAAGGCGTGTACCACCCCTACCCAGTCCACCACAGTTTCTTTTCATACTTACCCCAAGTCCAGCTTCACTTTCTCTCAAACCCAGTTATGTGGTCCTAATTTCTATTCAGTCTCTCTGGACCTAAGAGACCAGCAAGTTGACGTCCCCTCCCTCCCCGGGAGCAGCGTGTCTCACCTGAGTCCTTGTCCCCAGGCCCTACAGCTGGAGTGGGCAAGAGCAGTGTCCTTGGCAAAACATCCCTGAGGATAAAAAAAACCTCAGTATGGATGGGGTGTCTCAGGGAAGGGTCCCTACTGCCATGGGACCCGTACCTGCTGGCTGACAGGAAGGCCAAGAGATGGGGACAGTCTGGCATGCAGAGGTTGGAGGATTCCAGGGACACACCTGGTAAGGGGATGGAAAAGAAAAGTCATGGAGCGACTAGGCCACCTCCACTCTGCCCCTCTGGTCCAGGCTCCCCTCACCGCACTCCCACCCCCTACTTCTTTGTAGGGGATCTCTCTCTATTCCTATACTCCTCTCTCAGAGAAGGGAGGTTTCCATCTCTTAGAGGTGACATCATTTCCTCCCTTGATGTTTACATCCCAGTTCTGATACCAAATAGAAGTCATCAAAAATGTCTTCAGTATTTTCTGTTTTGTTAGCAGGGTCTCACTGTAACCTTGGATGGCCTAGAACTCACTAGATAGACCAGCATGGCCTCAAAACTTGTAAGCAATCTTTCTGCCTGAGGTTATAGTCCTGAGTCATCATGCCTGGCTTACATTTCTTTCTTTTGTTCTTGTTCTTTTTGAGGCGGAGTCTTGCTATAGAACCCAAGCTAGCTTTGACTTTTATATGTAGCCCAGGCTAGACTTCAACTCTTCTTTTTTTTTTTAAATTTACTTTCTATTTTAAAATTCATTTCAGTGTGTGGGTGTTTCGCATGCACATGTACTACACGCATGCAGAGCCCACAGACGCCAGCAGAGGGATGCCCTGGGATGGAGTTACAGGTGGGTTTGAGCCATCGGACATGAGTGCTGGCACTCCAGCTGAGGACCTCCAGAAGAGCAGCCGGTCCTCTTAACCATGATGCTATCTCTCTAGTCCCAGACCCTGCATTCTTGATACCTCTTTATGGAGGCTCTCAAGGCTGAAGACTAAGTCAGTCAACCACTGAAGGAAGGTCACTCAAGCAGGAAGACCAAGAGCAACACGCTGCTGCTGGGTTAGCAGGAGCGGAGGAGAGAGCCCCATGTCTGAGAGTAGCGAAGGCCAGAAGTAAGGGTCAGCTGAGGCACACGGCACTGTGGCTCGCGGGGACCACCTAACTTTGTATTCGAGGATGTTACCAAGTTTCTCCAGGGGTTGGGGAAGGGATGGATAACATGTATTCTATGTGTGAGAAAATCTGTTTACTGTGCTCAACATGGATTGTAAGGAAAGGGTAGCCACCAAGGCACCGGAGAGGAGGCTACCCCAATGGTTTTGGCAAGAAGTGATGGGCCAGCTCAGCCTAAGTGATGGATGCAGATGGTATGCAGAGAGTCAAGAGATATTGGGGATCACAGCTGGCAACTCTTGATCCATTTGCAGTGTGGATGGAAACCTAGGTTCCTCACCTCCAGACAGCTTGTGAATTTGATAGGTGTTGATGTCTCCTGATGAAGGCCCTGTCTTCAGCATCAGGACCTGCCTAGGATCATGTCCTATGACCAGGAAACTCTAGAGAAGAGGGACAAGGGCAAGAATCAGCGTGACACAGGTATGTGCAGATGTTTCTTTTCTTTCTCCTTTTTTTTGGGGGGGAGGGGGTTCAAGACAGGGTTTTGCTGTAGCTATCAAGCCTGTCCTGGAACTAGCTCTTGTAGACCAGGCTGGCTTCGAACTCACAGGGATCTGCCTGCCTCTGCCTCCGAGTTCTGGGATTAAAGGCTTATACCACCCCTGCCTGGCTGCAGATGTTTCTTTTTGTCTGCTTGGTGACACATCCCTTCAAGGCCGTGCTTCTCAGCCTTCCTCATGCTGGGACCCTTTTTAATACAGTTCCTCATGTTGTGGTGACCCCAACCATTTTCATTGCTATTTCTTAGCTGTAATTCTGCTATGATTATGAACTGTGATGTAACATCTGATTTGCAGGATATCTGATATGTGTCCTCCTGAAGGACTCACAGGTTGAGAACCACTGCCTGTTTTAGGGCAACCCTCTCTCTACTCCTAGTTCCTGAGGATGGGACCCTAGTGGGTGGGTCCAGGACTAGAACTAGCCAATAGGATGGGTTACTGTCTGACCGCTGTTTGGTTCACGGATGGACAAAGGCCTAAGCCTCACTAATAAACATCTGTCATGGGATTTTTCCTGAAGAGCTTTGATTTTTCTTGTTTATTTGTTTCATTTGTTTGTGAGCTTTTACCTCTCTCTGACAGTCATTTTTACCATTGTAAGAGGGGTAGCTGTGGTCTGTCAAACCCTGCTAGATGCCCTCTTCAAATGTATCCTATATTCCCTGAAGATTTACTTATTTGTTTGTTTATATTTTGACAAGGTTTCCATGTTGCCCAGGCTGGCTTTGAACTCCTAATCCTCTTACAACAGACTTCTTAATGATAAGATGACAGGCTTGTACGACCAGGCACACCCCTGTGAAATGTCTTGTTCAGTCAGTACGCTGAGCTATAGGAAATAATGATTGACATCTGAGCTTGGAGGTAGGGGGTTCAAGGATAATCTGGTTACACAGGGACACAGAAGTACTCAGCGCTGGCTTGGCTACTCTAGAACTCCTAGGTGATTTTTTTTTTAAAGATTAAAGAACAATACAGAAGATTAAAATCAGTTGGTAGAGTGTCTGCCTTGAATGCATGAAGTGTGGGGTTGAATCCCCACTGCATATGCTGGGTGTGATCACACACACACACACACACACACACACACACACACACACACTCATTATCTTAGTTCAGGGGATGGGAAGTGAAGAGGACCAGAAATTCAAGGTCGGCTAGTGCTGTATAGTGAGTTGGGGAACAGCCTGGGCTACATAAACCTTTGCCCAAAACAAATTCCTAAGTTTTGGGTTAACCCAGTTTACAATGTGTTGGTCACCCACCTGATGCAAATTTACACAGGTAAGATCAGAAGTGATCCCCAGCCGTGAGTACTCACCCCCAGTGGCCACGGCTAGGTCAGAAGTGATCCCCAGGTATGAGTACTCACCCCCAGTGGCCACGACTCCAGAAAAGCCTTGGCATGCTGAGCATCCAACTCTGGGACCTGCCACACCCTTTGTGTCCTCTGCAGTCGAAGAAGTGGCTCTGGGGTACTGAGGACCCCTAGTGGGCTCTTGCCAGGTCCATCTGGTAGTGGCCAAGCCAGCCTGGAATGTACAGGTTCCAGGAAGTCAAGGGTCATACTAGAAGCTGGCCATTGGTGTGGGGTCCAAGAGGCAGGGGTAGCCCACCAGGGACAAAAGGTCAAAGATGGAGCTGGGAGTGGGGGTAGCCTCACCTGTGCCCCTCAGTAGGGCTTGCAGACACCATGTCCTCTGGCTGGGCAATCCTCATGCTGCCAGACACCAGTGAGCCATGCTCTGGCCTCTGGCATGGAGGAAGACAAGACTCAAGGCTGCTCCAGCTAGAGCAAGGGCTAATATTTTAATTTTATGATATCTGGCTCAGAGATCTGGCCTGATCAAAATGGACCTCAGATGTCCCCAACTATGCCAAGAGACATTCTTTTTCTGTTTGTTGTTTTGTTTCTCAAGACAGAATTTCTCTGTGCAACAGTCCTGGCTGTCCTAGAGCTAGCTCTGTAGACCAGGCTGGCCTCAGATTCACAGAAGTCCACTTGCCCCTGGCTCCCAAGTATTGGGATTAGAGGCATGCGCCACCATTGACTGGTCCAACCTTAATTTTTCTTTCTTCTTTTTGAGACAGTTCCTTGTGTAGCCCAGGCTTGTCTCATACTTGCTATGTATTTTAGTAACTAAGAGGCTAGCCTCTTGCTCTTTTTTTTTTTTAAATTAGGTTTTGTTTTTTGTTTTTTTTTTGATTTTTAGAGACAGGGTTTCTCTGTAGCTTTGGAGCCAGCCTGTCCTGGAACTAGCTCTTGCAGATCAGGCTGGTCTCGCATTTACAGAGATCCACCTGCCTCTGCCTCCCGAGTGCTGGGATTAAAGGCGTGCCCATTGCCCAGCTAATTAGAATTTTTTTAAAAAAAATAACAATCCAAATTCCCACTCCCTCTCCTCCTCCCATTCCCTCCACACACCCTCCCACCCCACCCCCTCCAATCCTAAGAGAGGGTAAGGCCCTCCCCACTACATCCATAGCCTCTTACTCTTGACCATCCCACCTCCACTTCCCATGTTCCAGATCACAGGCATGTGCCAACATGCCCACACTATACCCTGACTTCTTCACCAAGAAGGAAACCCTATAAAGGGTTCTCAAACCCTATAAAGCGTTAGCCGTTCTAGATACTTCCCCCCACCGCAGTCTCAGGAGTAGGGAATGTCTTTCCATCATCTATCTATACGCCCCAACCCCCACCTTTCCAGCTTAGGTGACTGGCCTTGGAGGAGAGCTGCTAAGTGGGCTTGCCCTTTTCCGGAGGTTCCATTTCTGTTAGGGTGTTGTATGCAAGCCAGATAATTAACAGCTATCTAAATCAATTAGCTGCTGACTGGCGGCTTAAGTGTCATGGGGGCAGGTGTCAGGCACACCTCAGGGATAAGCAGGGAAGGGGGGGCTGGTGTTCCTCCCCTCCAGGACCCTTGGGAGGAGATCCAGACATGGGTGGTGCTGGAAAGGGTTGGATGGAGGCAGCTGTGGGTACAAAAGCCAGATGCTGGGTCCCTAGGGGCCCTACCTGTTCCGAGGGGAGCCTGAGCAGCAGGAAGTGAAAGTGTTCTCTAGAGAGGAAGCCGGCATGTAGGGGAAGAGGCGGGGCTGGGGGCATCTGAAATCGCCTTCCTCTCCCTTTCCGGGGATCAGCCTTAAGGGCTCCCCTTTTGGAGTGGACCTCTGGCAGGCTAAGAGCCAGGATGAAAAGTCTCCAGGCCGCCCTCTCCAGGGGCATCCTCTTGGCCCCACCCACTATCACTCCTCAGATCCTGGAGCCAGAGATGGTCAGTTGGTATGTCTTTAGGGTCCACCGCCCCCCCGCCCCAGCTGTCGCAGGTACCCACGAAAAGAAACAGAAGCCACACAACTTGAATAGTTTGTTTTGGTTTTTAGTTTGTTTCCAATAAGCAAGGTCCCCTGCCCATCCCCCACTGGCTGGCAAGTGGGTCTCTAGGAAAGGGGGGACAGCACTCACTTTGTCTGTGGGAGGCAGAGACCCCCTGGGTGAAGTCATATTTCACTAAAGAAGTCCAGCCCCCGTGTGGGGTAGGTTAATTTGATTTAGCCACAGGTCCCCTGAGAATAGAGAAATACCTTGTTCTGGCACAGTTAGGAGTTTTGGGGTAACCTGATCTCTGGGAGTAGTTAGAAGTTAGGGAAGGTTGCTTCTTGCCCTTGGGGGTTAGAGGCTGTGGGCTGTTAGAGATGGGCTGTGTAGGCCTCAGCCCTCAGGAATATTAGAATTTTCTGGGATTGAGTTGGGGACCCTGGTTTCAAGAAAGTGGTTAAGAGAATAAAGGATCTCCTGAGCCCCACACCAGCTGCACGTTAGAGGAACCATGCTGGCTGGGACTCCGCTGTCCTGCTTGGGAGGTAGTGGTCACTGGTGCTCCTCTTTCTCTTTGGTCCTGGCCACCTCCTTGGCTGGAGGTGGGGACTTCTTCGGGGAGGTGGTAGTGTTGGGGTTGGGGGCCTGGGACCCTGACTGGGCATCTATGCTGGCATGCTCCTTCCGGACAAGGTCTTCCAGCTCCTTCTGCAGGGGCAAAGGTCAGAGAAGTCAAAGGTTACCATAATATATCCTCATGGGGCGGGGCTCAGGATGGGTTGGGTGGCCTAGCTCCTCACCTTCCATCCAAGAAGGTCAGCAAGGGCCAGGCAGCCTTGGTCACAGTCACCTAGCCAGGCTACATCCCTGCAGTGTGAGCAGGAGTTAGAGAATGGGCTGAGGCCTGGCAGGCCTCTGTCTTCTTTCCCACCTCAGCCTGCCCTTCCCAAGTTGTTCCCGCCCCCCATGCCCAGGCCTCACCTGTAAGCCTTCTTGGAGTCAAAGTCCATGCCACCTCCCAAGCCCATCATCATGCCAAGGAAGGGATCTGTCTGTGGAGACAGGACAGCTAAGAGCGTATCTGTGGGAACAGGACAGCCCCCAGAGCCACCAGACCTGGCTTATATTTATTATCCAGACAAGGTTTCTCTGCGTAGTCAGTCCTGGCTGTCCTAGAACTCACTCTGTAGACCAGCCTGGCCTCGAACTCAGAGATCCACCTGCCTCTGCCTTCCGAGTGCTGGGATTAAAGACATGCACCACCACCCCTGGCTTGTTCTTATTTCTGAAGTGTATGTAGTATGCATGTGTGTTTCTGTATGTGTGCCCTTTGTGTAGGGTGCTCACAAAGGACAGAAGAGGGTGTCAGATACCAGGAACTGGAGCTTAAGGTAGTCAGGAGCTACCTAACATGGGTACTGGGAACTGTACTTAGGTTTCTGAATGAACAGAATGTGTTCTTAACCACTGAGCAATCTCTCCTGTCCAAAACCATTATTTTTTTCTGACAGTGCTGAAGCTTGAGCCCATGGCTCTGTGTATGCCAGGCAAACACTCTACCACTGAGCTATTTCCCCAGCCCAAACATATTCTTTTTGAGACAAGGTTTCTCAAAAGGCCTGGAATAGCAATTGGTGAGACTGGCTGTCTGGTGAGCCCAGGGATCCACCAGTCTTTGCCTCCCCAGTGCGGATGGCAAACACACGCCACCATCCTGCTTGTGCCACTTCAGGTGTTCTGTGCCTTTTGTTTCCTGTCCACTGAGACTTGTCACAGACGTTTAATCAGAATCTGATTAAACGATAAAATGTTATCATTTTATTTGAGCTTTTCCCCCAGAGCCTTCCATCTTCCAGAGACATCCCCTCTTTTTGTATTGTCAGTGGTAGCTGGTAGTGAATATCCAGACACATGAGTTCCTTAGAGATGGGACTTGGTGATATTTACATTTCTAGACATTTGCTAGGCTGTGGTGGCTCACGCCTTTAATCTTAGCATTCATGAGGCAGAGACAGGTGGATCTCTGAGTTCAAGGCCAGCCTGGTCTACAGACTGAGTTACACAGAGAAACCCTGTCTTGAAACAAAACAAAACGACGACAAAAAGCTCCTCCAAAACAGCACAGCCAGGTGTGGGGCACAGGCCTGGAATTCCAGGACTTGGAAGGCAGAGGCAGGAAGAGCAGGAGTTCAAGACCATCTGTTACCACCTGGTGAGTTTGAGAGAACAGGGCTTCATGGGAGCCTGTCTCAAACCGTCTCCAGAGCTCACACCATATCAAGCCACAAGTCGGGTAGACACAGAGTAGGATGTGTGTGCTCCAAATAAACAATCAGCCACTGCCTACGAGGGGCTTGTCCCAGATTCTGATATGTAAGCAGGTACTAGAATAGTAATGCCTGAACACTGACACACGGAGAGACTATGCCCCTAGCATCTGTGTCACAGGCAGGTCACACCCCTTCCTGATGCATCTTCTCTCTTGCCCAGGACTAAGGCCTCCCTTAGAGAGGTGAGTCAGGCCTGGGCAGTCTCAATTGGCGGTCAGCTGTGCACTGATTGGTCTCCTGGATCCCAGGAGCACTCAGGCTTCAGCGGCTTCAAGGTATGGTTCTGTCATTTGCTCAAAGGAATTCAGAGTGGCGCAGAGGCCTGCAGCATCAGGCCGGCCCAGCACCTGATTCCCATATTCTCCAGCCTGAGCTGGCAAGTCTAAAGCACTAGCGCTCTCCAGGTAGGATACAGAGGCCACTCTCATCCTCCTGAAGAAGAGGTGAAACAGCCCCCAGTACAAAGGGAGAAGGAAGTTGAGGCAGACTCACCTGGCCAGTCTTTTCCTTGTTGATGAGCAGGCGTGGGGTAGATAGTGGTGCCCTGGGAATGGAGAGCTGGGATTCAAGATCTGCCCTGTGCCCTGTTCCCAGCTGACCCCCAGCCCTACCCCCTCAACCTACTTGCTGATGAGGGAGGCGAAGGGCTGCACCTGCAGGGAGGTGCCCATGATGATGAGGAGGTCCACCTTCGAGAAGTCCTGCAGGGAGCAGCCAGGAAGGACTTGGACCCCACTGCTCTGGCTTTGTACCCAGCCTCCCCTCCAGCCCAGCAAGCGGCCCAAGTGGGCCGCGCCCAGGGTGGACACTTACTGACTGCATGCAGGAGAAGAAGCGCGGCGGAAGATTCTCACCGAAAAACACGATGTCTGGGGTAGAGACAGACAAAGGAACACAGGGACAGGAGAGGAGACATGGGAGACAGAGCTAGAAAGGCAGGAGTCGGGGGCACACTGGGGCCTGAGGCGGCCGACAGATACCCACTCTCTGCAGGATAGTAGGAGATAAGCCACATGGCAGAGGTGACCAGAGGTGGAGTGTGGGGAACAGTGGGGGAGAGGGACCCAGCTCCAGTTCCCCCAGGCCCTGAGGCTCACCAGGCTTTACCACGCTCTGACATTTCTCACACGTGGGAATTGATTCTGAGAAGATCTTCTCTGGATGGGAAAGAAGGAGGGAGAGGAAGGTATGAGGCCTTCCAGGCTAGAGTAGCCCTCTCTGTCCTTCCCTACTGTCAACATAAATGCATCCCAGGTGACAGTGGTGCATGCCACTAAACCTGCTTTTGGGAGAAATCAGGAGGGAGGGACTGTGAGTTCGTGGCCAGCCTTGGCTACACAGCAAGACCATGTCTCAAAAGCCCAGAGCTGGGGTAGGGAAGTAGCTCACTGTATAAAGGCATTTGCCGCCAAGCCTGATGACCTGAGCTTGAACCCACGTGCTAAAAGGAGAGGAACAACTTCTGCAGATTGTCCTCTGACATCCACAGGTATGCTGTGCATGTATAGACCACATCCACATCCACATGCAAACACACAAATAAATGCGAAAAATACTTGACAACAACAACAAACCCAAGAGCTAAGGATGTTGCTCAATGATGGAACATTATGGGACTTGGGACATGATTTATCAGTAGAGCCTCTGTCTAGAATCCCCCAGTGAGGGGCTGGGGGTGTGGCTCAGTGGTAGAGCCCCTGCCTAGAATCCCCCAGTGAGGGCTGGGGTGTGGCTCAGTGGTAGAGCCCCTGCCTAGAATCCCCCAGTGAGGGGCTGGGGTGTGGCTCAGTGGTAGAGCACTTGACCTTGCATGCCTAAGCCCCAGCACCACAAAACAAACAGCGCCCCCCACCACTAAGGGATCTCCTGGGGTATCCTTCCAGCTTATCAGAGAAGTGCTCCCTTCTTAGAGAGCTGTCACCTTCATCTCCAGGCACCCAGGGGGTGGCCCCAAGCACCACTGCCTACAGCTAGTGAACGAGATGCAACACTGGAACAAACCCACATGACAGGCACCCTGGACTCCACCAGACCCCCATCTGGGGAATGGGAGTCAAGCCCTTCCTATGGGTCTTGGGGACAGTTCTATTTGCCCCAGGTCAAGAAAGGACATACAGATAATTTTGGAATGGAGCCAACCTGCTCATCTGCCTCCCCCGCCGAGGACTCTATGACTGCCTTCTCCAGTCCTGCCCTTAGGACAGTCACACTCCTCATTGCTTATGGAGCAGGGAGCTCAAAAGCGCGTCTGTCATTTGTAGCCCGCAGGGCTCAGCCACTCTCTCTGTCTCTCCGCTCACAGAGCGCCACTCTAGCCGCCACCACTCAGGGTGTTGCTACACAGACAACATGCAGTTCTGCAGGTGGCAGACGCCATTCCACAGGGACATAACGGGGTGATGCCCATTGTCCATCATCCCAGCTGTGCACTCTTGGGCTGCTCAGGAACCCTCAGTCTGGGGGCAGCTG